GCTCCTAGAGATCTATGAAAGTCCCAGAGGTTTGGGTTTGGACCAACAAAAATTATGCCACAATTAATTGTGACACAACTGAGGGGGAAACGAGTACGGGGGGTAGAAACACTGTGCTGCACTCCTTTACCAGGTGAGGTAAAGGAGGCAGAGATGGTGAATGGTTGGTGAGCGGTTTCCTTAGATAAACAGGACAAAAATGTGCAGGAATTTCCACAAAGCTGAGACCCCCATAACTCCCGCACAGGCGCAGGACCTGCAGTTGATAGAACTGCCCCGAATCAGCTCAGCAAGGAAACCGACCCTGGGAGGGGAAAAAGTCTTGTTTCCATCTGACCCACACAGCCCCTGAAGCTACTTGCAGAGGAGCACTGGAGGGTATTTTAAATCCCCTGACACGACCTCATCATAACACCAATGCTAATTTTGCATGGAACCTAAACGGTGAGAGCACCATCTTGGGGGTACTGAACCCCTGGGGTTGCTGTCCTCTGGAGGAATATATGGTCTGCGTTTCCAACATGAGAAACAGTATGTGCCTCTGGATGCTCTTCTCTATTTCTTTCTTTTCCCCTTCTTCACTCCTTTGCTGTTGGTTCCACAGAAACGTGGTGTCCAAACAATGAGATGCAATCGATAGATGTGAAGGACAGGGTGGTCTGTTGTTATGTTTTGTTTTGTTTGTTTTTTTTTTTTTAAAAAAAAAAAAAGCTTTCTAGAAGGTAAAGGTGAATGGGAAGTTCAGTCTGGACCCTGTGAAGTCACCAGTCTTTTAAGACTCAATAAAACAGTGTTGAGTACTCAATTTTTCTTGCTATGATGGTTCTTATCCTGGTACCTGTGAAGTGTCTGTGCTTGGAAATCCCTGAGACGTGCCTCATACATCTGTCCAGAAATTCATCAGAAGGAAGCTGACAGCAAGGCACGTGTGTGTCCTCAGCTCAAAGTAAGAAAAGTTTAGACTAAAGTTACTTGCTGTGAGGAAGCAACTTTAAGACAAAAAGAAAAAGTGAGCAGAAATGAAAGACACTTTTTATTTTTAGGAGAGAACTTGGCTTTGAGTAGCAATTGCTGGACAGCTCAGGATTTTTGTTAGCAAAGAAGGGTTTTGCATTCTTATAAAGAGTTTAATACAGCACTGCTGGTTGACAGCTATGGTTCTCTGCTGCATGGCGATTCCTTTGTAATTTTTTGTTAGTCTCGGTAAAAAGACGCTTGTATTGAGATTGTGATTTAATGGCATTCTTCTAAACTGAGTGTTCATGACAAATTCCTCAGCACTTCAGAACAACTAAAGTACATTTAAAGCCCTGGAGGTTTCTTTCTGTCTTTATTTCTCCCCAAATCACAGGATGTCCAGACTTTGCACCCAAGCAAAGCCATAGTACTGGAGTGCCTCCAGGAGCCTGAGAGCTGCATTTTAGTGGGGGTAAAGAAAAGACAATGTACTGCATATAGGCATACTCATTAACAACAGGCAATACGCTGTCTCTAAAAGATGAGCATTTGACAATTGATTGCACAAAGAAATGCCACCTGCATGCTTGTACCAAGATGGAGCACTTCATGCTTTTGTCCCTGCAGCTGCACCTGGAGCCTGGAGTGTGAGGGCTGAATACGCTGTGCAGATCTCCAGCTGCACTATTTCACTTGCTGTATCTTGACAACTCGCATGCTCTTTCAACAGCGTAGCTGTTAGTACCACAAAAATTACCTTTTCATTGCCACCTTACAGAAGGGTCACAATAATAACCGCACAAACCTCTTTGATCCTGTTTGACTTGACTCCTGATGCCTGCTGTTGTTGCTTCTGTTTTTCAGCTCGTCACGAAGTTATCACCAAAGAGATCCTCGAGCTGGATACGTGGGAGAACCAGTGGAACGTCGTGGCCATCAATGTCCTCATGCACGACAGCTATGATGTTTGCCTTGTTGCTAGGCTGAACCCGCGGGATCTTATCCCTCCTCCCCCAGATTTAGTGGACCAATAGAAGTTCGGTGACTCTCAGTGCTTCCAGATTCTGCAGAAACTGAAGAATTTGGAGAGACAAATGCTGCATTGGCTCTGGATGACAGCTGAGTCCCACAAAGAGGAGCCAGCAACACATGCTGAAGGACAGAATTGCCTTTGAGCAATTGCACTTCTTCAATTTGAGAATTGCACTTCTCAGATGATGCTTAGTTTGCTAGTACTGGTACTCTGGAATTCTGTGATTTATAGTCGAGGTTGCCCAGCCTTTGTGTGTGGCCCTTCGTCTTCCATCTGGCTGTGCAAGCTCCAGCATTGGGTGCAGCCTGGGCTTTTGGGACCCTTTGCCTCACAGGCACAGTGGCATCCCAGCGCTCATTTCACAGCACAGTATGACATACGAGGGAAAGCTCTAGCCAGGGAAATCCCTCCTTTGCTGTTCATCCCATCTGGTTCTACTAAGCTACCGAGGAGGCTAAGAAATATATAAAGTCAGCTGATGAAAACCAGAGCCAGCTGTACCAAAGGGCCAGTCTGTTCTTGACTGATGCAGGAGAAGAGGGAAAACGGAGAAGAGGGAAAACAGAGAAGAGCCTTTGTTTGTTTTAAACAAAAAACCATTAGCCAAGGTTCATTAGCCAAGTACACCAGCTAGTGCAAACATCTAACCCACAGGACAGTCGAGATCCTGTCTTTGCCAACAGAGCTGAGCCCAGGCTAGTAGAAAACTAGTCTTTTGGCAACGAGTCACAAGCGAGTCTTCCAGCAGGGTTAGTAGGCAGCCTGTACCAGTAGAAAAGAAGAATCCTAAATTTTCACATATATCCTACCTGTTACAAGGTCTGGTGTGACCAGAACCTTAAAGCTCAGTTAGAAACCCCTCTTCCTTGGAGAGATGGAGAAACGGATATAAACTAAAAAGTAAAAAATGAGACTAGTATTATCTGCATATCAGCTCTGCAGCTACAGGAAAACGATAGATATGCTAAACAACAAATGTTTATATAACCGTAGCTGCTTTTATAGAAGTAGGTTTAATGAAGTAGCATAAGGTAAATTCTCTACCAACAGGATTGGCCATAATCACAGGGAAGAGGAATCATTCAGTGTTTCTTAAGGCAGTGTTGGCCTTTATAGGGTTTGAAGACAGTAGGTTAGAGAGAAAATTGTTACTAATACCATTTGAATTATCAATAACTATTTATCAGTTCTGTGGTGCCTACATTATGGTGTATCTTGTATCTGTCTGTCACTGCTGGGGCAGTATGGACAAGAGAACTGGAAATCTCAGTTGTGCTCTTGGGCCAAAATTGTAAATGATAGTATGCTGCCAGGCAGAGTGAATGTCAGAGGCAAACACTAAGAGTAAACTATGATATAGTACAAGAATGGTCATTGTCAGCAAGAAGTTGCTTTTGATGCCTACAAATGCAGCAACAAAACTGGAAGGAAATAGTTGGCAAAGAAAAGAGGGAATCCATCAGATAGTTCTCCATAGTTACTTGCAGGATTTGTGCTTCAGAGCATCTCCATTTTCTTTTTCAATCATGTTTTACGCTGCAAAAATGCCAGCTTTTTTTTTTTTTTTTTTTTTTGCCTGCAATGCTTATGGCAGACAGAGATGGAGAGGATGACCCAAAAGCCCTTTCCCAATTCTGACTTTTCTGATTCATGAACTATTCTCTAAAATATCCAGGGGGAATATTAAACTGTCATATAAAAACAATTAGCAGGAAGGTCACGGAAGTTTACCTGATAACTATAGTAGGACACTGAGGACTGTTCAGACAATAAGGGAGTTGGTGGGGGGAAACAAAGGAAAACATGTGAAAAAGGAGTAAATCTGTGAGCCTTACAGCTAATCTCTTGCCTCCCTTTATGTTTCCCAAGCAGGAGGAGTGTCACAGTGTAAACACATACTCTTGTGTTTGTATCATTTCTGTATGATCCAGTCTTTCTTTTTTCTTTCCATCGTTCATGTGTAGGTCATCATCTGTCTAGAGCAGAGTTGCGACAAGCATGAACTTCAGTGGTACAAATCAGTGACCAGTTCCTCGAGTCTTAACCTCTCTGGTCGCTAAATGCAGTTGCAGGTATAAGACCAAGAAGGCAAACTCTGCTTTAATATGTTCTTAAACAAAATCAGTAGAAAGTTCTTCCAATTAACCATCCAATATTGGAAATTCTTTTTTTAATTTTAGTTGTTACTGCAAAGTAAAGGTAATCTTGGTCTAATTTCTCTACAGAGCTCTCAAGGCAGCTGGAAGCAATGCTCTTGAGTATAAGTTAAGTGTTTCCTTGTCAAACTCCAAATTCTGCAACTGTATCTACTGATTTTGCATCTTTCACCCTTTTTGTTTTAAGGGAGAATGTTTTAAAGGGTTTTTTTGTCTTCAGCCTCTGCTCTGTGATCTATTCCTGACAATTCAAATCCTCCTGAGGTTTAAAGCCTGAGTTAATCTACTGGATTTCGCTCTCTGAAAGACAGTCTACTTGGAATATTTCAAGGGGAGAAGGGAGACTTTTGCAGGCTTTCATTAGTCATATTTGAACGTATATGTGGAACACAGCTGAGACTCCTCTATTAAAGTTTTATTCCAGTAGTGAGCTGGCCATTTCTTTCCCACTTCATATGTTTTGCTTTTTAGACCGATATTTAATGAGCTGGATGGAAGGAAAGCATGTACTCTGAGAAGGTCTGTCTTGATAACCGAGGAGAGTAATTGCATATGTTTTATGTACTGGCTTTGCGATCAGCTAGCTTGAGCTGTAGTGGGCAGTTCAGAGGTTTTTCTTTGTGCACCACCAGCAAGTGACCTGTCCCTGCTGGCACCGAGCATCGCGCATCCCGCTGCCCGCAAGGTCAGTTAGTGGGCCTCTTGTGTGTCCCTGTCTCTCCGTTCCTGCCCGAACGTCTAGCACTATAAATCAACCAGTGAATTGTTTTCTTCAGGATTAAATATCTTGAATGGAGGCACTAACTTCTGACATTTTGTGTGGGCCCCATGTAGTTCATCGCCCCCTTGGGGCGATGACAACTTCTAAGCTAATACTTGGAAATGAAAGCTTGACTGAAGAAGGAAGGAAGAAGCAGAAAGCACACTTATTGAGAGGTATAGATCTCAGCCAAAATCCTTCTGAGAGTATACTAATACTGCATGTCAGATACATCCATGGGTAGTCTCACATTGCTGGGAAAGTCCTTAAGAATCTTAATTTCTTCTATTACAAATCCTGATAAAAAAAAAAAAAATTACAGAATATGCATTCCCCAAGCTTGGGAGTTTCACTGAAATAATAGTTTACTTCAGCCCCTTTCTGTCTGAGAGCAGTAGTTAGCTGAGCGTTTAATCAACGCTGTCTTAACATCATCCATAATTCTAAAATGCAAACAAAGCAGCGCTGGCAAGCTACCGACTATTTAAATGAATGGGGGGATTATTAAGCAAAGGCATACACTTCAGTTTCAGTTGAATTGCTGAAGTACATCACTAGTTGCCAAATATGAAGAAGAATGTTGGAGAGGTAGCTGGTCACGTGGCACACAGGGAGTAAAGCAAAAAATGAGATGCTATAAAAAGCTAATTGAAGCTCTCCATTTTTATCCCCGGCTAATGTTTTATTTTAACATTGTCCATGTATAACTGATTTCATAAGGATCCCCGTAGATCTCTCATCTCGGTTTTCACACATGGGGTCATAGGAACTGCCCGCATACGTAAACCACCGGGCGCCTGACTCCCCACCCTCACGCACCACTGCTGCAGTTGCCTCTGGCTCAGTCCCTGCCCGTGCCAGGCAAACACACACACGCACATTTTGCATGTGTGCAATATTGAAATTTATGGGGCAGTTTCTGTATTGCATACCAGCTGTATTGTGCCACTCAGGAAGCCTGGATTTGCCAACAGAAAATTGCCTTGGTGTACACAGAGCCATCAGCTCTTCCACCAGTGCTCCCAAATATGCTCCAGGTAAGAGGCTGAGGGAGCATCAAAACCGAGAGACCGGCAACAGAGATGACAGCTGCTCCCAGATGTTACCATGTGCAGTGGAGCCAAGGTGGGGTGGAACGATCGTCCCCATCTCTTCCTAGGGAGGGTTCAGATGTAAAAAGTTTTGGCCCTGAATCTTCATCTAATATTTCTTCCTCTGCTTCAAATGCGTAATGAGATCCTTGACCACCTGAAAACAAACACTAGAGTAATACATTATTTTTTAAAATGTTAAAATATATTCATTAAGATCTATATTGGTTTTCAGCTGATCTGGAAGACAACGACGTTCTTTTAATAAGCTGTTTACCTAGTGATTGCTATCTTAACTACAGTGATGGTCTCTTTCACAGGCTGCTCTCCTAATGGATTATGTAGCTCCTCTGAAAATTTGTTTCATGAATCACAATGCTTTGAATCACCAGGTCAGAATTTCAGTTACTCTTTTGCAAATTTCCGTGGCTCTCTCTACAGCTTTTCAAGTGGACTCTAGCTTCAGCTTCAAAGAAAAGCTATTTCACCCCCAGTTGTGCTCAGCTGGAACGCGTACATTCGCAATTTACTATCATTTGACACATAGAGGTTGAAAGCAAAGGAAATATTGGAAAATAGCTAAAATATATATAGAATGTATGCGGGAGTACACTCTCCTCCTTTTCTTGGCAAATGTCTCCTCTGTGTTTACCGCCCTGCCTGGGTGTCTGATGGAATGATTTACTAATAGCCTCTGATTGCAGCCACAGCGAAGGCCACGCTGGAGCTCCGCGTTTGTGCTGCTGGAGCAGGGAGAACCAGCATGGCATGCAGAGCTGTGGCTCCTGGCAGCCTGGCCTACCTCGCCACAGGAAATTGCCTCCAAATGAAAAAGCATTTAAGTGTTCCAGGATGTGTACTCCTATGTGTTTTATATACATATGTATAACATTATTTTTAGAAGTTCTTTACTGACAGCAGTAAGATCCTTTTCTTAACACATACCTGGGAACTCTGCCTTCTGCATAGCTCATCAAAGTACATCAGAAAAAGTGCTGGTCTTTAAATATATGGAACTATTCCAGGCTTTGAGTCAGAAAGAATCTCAAATTCCTCGCTGAGCTAAGGAACAACTAGGGAAATCTTTCAGTCCTCACCTATTTCTCCTTCCTTCTCCAATTTTTTGCTGGCTGTAGCGCTCCCCTCAGAAGCTCGGAGTCCTCTTGAAAGCTTTGTGCAAATCTGATCTGTTTCTCTTCCCCTAACCCCATTCCTGCCTCAGCCCACTTGCCTGACCAGCCCTTAAATTCCTTCTTTTCCCCTTCAGTTCCCCAGATGATGGGAACAGCCACTTGGGGTGTCCACCAGGCTCCAGACGTCTCAGAAGCCTACTGCTCCAGCAACAAATCAGCTTTGAAGGACAGAAGGAAGACTGTACCAGCTCCCTGGATTTGAGGACGCTCATCTTTGAGCAGGTTCTAGCCCCAACCCAAATTCTGCGGTTCAGTCTCATTGCAAATAAAACCCGCCTGCTCTGCAGTGTCGCTGGTCCTCTGGCTACGACCAGGGTTGGAAGGCAGGTGACCTGCGTTCTACTTAGTCTCGCCGCTGTCTCGCTGCATGACGCTGGTAAATTTGACATTAAATGCCTTGCATACTGTGCGTGCCATAGCTGTAAAGATTGCAGGCACGAGCCATTATCATTACCTCTGATTCCTGAACACTAGTTGCTACAAAAACTGCCTGGAGCACAGAGGGAGGCATCTTCGTTATGGTATTATATCTCACGTCTTAAAGCCGGATTTTTCTCCTGCAGTTTCAGTCAGGCCATGTTTCACTAAAGAACCTGGTCTTTAATTTATCAGGTTTTAGTATTGGTATTTTTTCTCCACCTTGTCCTTTTCTAGTCATTCTTTATAAGAACGCGAGTGACTTCACCAGCTTTTCTACGAAATGCATTATCCCAACTGGCCTCCCGAGGCCGCTGGCTTTTCATTACCAGGGTCGAAGCACAGCCGCTAAAGTGCCAGTCAGCTGCACTACTTTATTTTCTCATTCAGCAGCTTCATAGTAGAGGAAATGTATTTCATCCATACATACAGTAATGTGAGAGGAAACCACTTCCCACATACACAAATTCCTGACTCATTCCTTTCAAACGCGGCTGAAACAACTGCTGAATCCTAACATAAAAAGCTATGATACCCATTCAATAGGCTTTTCCAGGCTTTCCAGTATGAGGAGGAGGATCACAGGGAGACGTCTTGTAACTAGAGCCCAGATTGGAAATTTGAACCGCTGGGGTTTGTTTCCAGTTCAATTACTCTGTTTACTAGTCTGCGGCTAGGTTCACCCATGTAAAATAGTTATAATAATACATCCCTCCTCATTTTGTGGGTCTGCCTTGCTGTGGTTTTAGAGGGGGTGGCTCACAGATGTCTGTAATGTTATGTTGAGCTCCAGAGATCAAAAAGTGTTATACAATGGCAGAATATTATTGCACTGCTGTCATCTCCCTGATTTTTGGTAACACGGTTGTCCACAGCATTCAGAAACGGGGCCTTCCTGGGAAAGGAGAGACTGGCAACAAGAGATATCTAATTGTGTAATACGTTAAGTAGAAGAAGAAATGTAAAGCTTATTGCATGTGCCTTCATAGCTAGTCACACTTCTACACAGGCAGAACTAATCTCGGCAAATTGAGAGGTCACTAATTGAGGCTGAATTTGAACAGCAGTAATTAGAAGAATGAGTGAGCTGTATTTTTCTCAAAGCAGATTTGATTTAATAAATTATGCTACTTAGATAGCCACATTTGCTAAGAAGCAAAAAAAGAGAAGGTGCTTTACAGAAGTGTCATAGATTTCCTGGGTAACTGAGGCCTGACTTTAAATGGTCTACCACAGCTGTGATAGGAAAGCTTCGACTCTCTGGGGATTCCCATATTGGACCGCTGATGCATTTAACTAGCCACTAAAAGGCACTGTTGCATCCAAGGAGTCACCTACAGAATATGCATAAGAGTGTTTTAGGATATTGCCAAAGTGCAAACAATGTGGCATCTACTTGCCGAGTTACTGAATTGATACTCGGGATTGTATTGCCTTCCCCACCAGCGTGCATGGGTAAAAAATCTTAGTTGAACTGACCAGTAATTTACAGTACTTACTGAGAGGTAATTGATAATACGTAAGATTCCAAATATCTTTTAGGTTAAGACAAGTTTTGCAGAGTAGAGAATGTTTGTTACTAAGCAGACAGTGAGACATACTGGCATTTCCCTGTTGATAAAAAACCCCAACAAAACAACAGAATAAATAAATGCAGTTATTTTGCAGGACAGCACTGCCTAATTGCTTTGTTTCCATTTAATATGTTAGACTGGAAGCCTGTGTGCAACAGCTAGTTGGCAAACTTTGAAAAAAAACAGTTCAGTGAGAGTTAATAAAAAAAATAGGACAGATTCATCTCACACACACAAGTGCAAGTCAAGTGTAACAATATTTTAATTCAGTGATGAAACAAAGGTGTGAGAAGGTGCTCAGACCCAAGACCTACCTAAAAACCTCCCTCCACTCAGGGGGAGGCTCACAGTGTCAGGATCTCACCCTTCTGGTGAGGATGAAAAGGCGACGAAGTGAAAGATGAGATGTGAGAGACTGGTAATGGAGACCCAGACCTGTCTTTCTAGCCATAAGGTCAGATATAGTGCAGGTCAAGAGATGCTGAAAGTTACTCCCTGTAGACGGCTGTCTACTGACCACTGCTAAACATGTTACTATATGGCAATCCCCTATCTAGCGGACAGAGAATCAAACTGCTAAAACAACCCACCAAACACACAAACAAAAAAGTATTATCATGGCTGGGCTCCCTGCTGGGACCCCACATAGCAAGGTCAAGGTCTAAATATCCTGTAATATTCACGTTCCAGTCTCCAGATGATTCCTGTTAGCAGTGTTAGACTGCTAGGCAGTCTAAGACACCAGGCAAAGGAATTTTGCTCTAGTTTTGTCTAGAGCATAAGAGGGATAGATAGCACAAAGATTCAAGAGAAGTCAAACTGAGGCAGTGGTGAAGAGAAGGGGAAGAACCCCCAAAGCAGCCTTGTCTTTAAAACCATTTCAGATGCATCTGTTCCATTTGTTCTTCATTCTGCCCCTTCTCTCAGTTAATTCACTGCAGCAATACCTCATTAAAAACAAAGGGAGCAGTTCTTTATTTAAGGACAGCTCAAATCCTACAGGAAGAAAGGCCATATTTAATCTAGGTCCCACGTATCATACCAGACATTTCAGTGTCTATCATTTGTGTATATTTTTCTTCGTGCCCACAGAATGACAGGCTAGATGCTCACACTGCTACCTCTGCAAGCTCTCTCCGAGATAAAGTGTTTGAATTCTACTCTTGATTACAATGACAGTCTCCCAGAATAGGACAGCATCTACTTAACCATGTTTCTCAGAAAACCAGATACCCTTTGCATCTCCTAGAAGGCAAACCAATGGAAGGACTGATCTTGCTAAGTATTATATGCAGAGATGGCTATGGCTACTCTAATTGGTAGAGAAATAACAACATGCCTAATTCCATCGTCCTCTTAAAAAGCCAAGATGAAAATTGCCATGGTGAATATTGTACTCCGCGACAGTTGCTGGCATGGGCTCTGTCTGCCTTTTTGCCTTTAAGAAGGATCAGAGCAAAAGACTCTATGTGGATCATGTCCCACAGAACTGTACTAAGCCACATGCTATTCATAGGAGGGGTCTTTCCAGATTGCAGTGAAGTCTTAAATTCTAGCTTATAGTCATAAGAGACAAAGGTTAAAGTGTTCTTAATATGCTTACTCCTTGCAGCATCCTTCAGTTATGATGCCTTTTAAGGTTGTTGTTGCCCACTTAACTACTTAAACAGTTTACAACAACCCAAAGTGCACAGGGAAAGGTAAGAAGATAAAAAAGTAAGAAGAGAAGTGGCCTTTAAAGGTGTCTGATAGATTCCAGCTCTGATAGATTCCATTCCTCTCTTCTGTCAGCTGGGACACACCTGCAGTTAGGATGCTGATGGCAAAGCTATAGCCATAGTGCAGTTGGCATTTTTAGCTGAATAGATGAACCCAAGCCAGACCTAATGATTAGCAATGAAGATTCAGTAGTCCAGGTGTCAGCTGCCCTAGCAACTCAGCGTGATCTCTAGCTGGCTTGGACAGCCCATGCTGAAGCCCAAGCTGTTACGTTCACACTGCTCTCATTAATTAAGAGCCTCAACTAAAGCTAACTAAGGTATTCACGCATGTTGCAGTCAGAACTCCTGAATGAATGTGAAAAAGACTAAATCTGTAGTTCAGCTGCAGAACTGGAAAAAGTCTTTTGCAGTCAGATCGTTTTGTAGCCCGTGTTGCCATAAAGCTACAGAATTGCCCACACTGGCACGGCACAAAGCGAGGCACAGAGCCAGAGCCAGTGCCCGCTGAGGGGTGTGTGGTACTGCAGCTGCTGGTGCCAGCACTGCCACTTGAAAATTCACTCATCAAACTGTGCCTTAATGCACCAGCAGTCCCCTCGGCTCTGAAGCTAGCCCACTGTAAAGCCTGCTCCGTGGAGTGCTCTAAGGGGCCAAACAGTCAAAGACTATACAAAGATTGATAATTGCTGCAAAGCCTTGTCATGACTCATGCATTAATAGCTTACTGCTTGATGGCTCCTCGTGCTCTTATACAAAGACGCCAAATAGCACGCGAACAAAACCATGGGCTAGGAAGTTCACCCTCTTTCCAGTATTCACAGTTGATAAAACCTTCCTAAAGGTTTTCGTTAAGCACTTTTCAAAATGGATTAGGAATCCACCCCTGCTCAGCCTTGCAGCGTGGAGCAGTCATCTGATGCACAAAATAACAGTCATCTTGCCAGGAAATTTGCTGTACTAATGCTGCTGTACTCATGCTGCTGTCCTAAGCTGCTCAGTCTTTAATCTGATTTCTTTGTTTCTTATTTCAGGCGAGCCACTGTAACAGAAATGTTCGGTAAAGACTGCTAAGCCACTTGGCATGTCTATAAAACTCAGGCGTGTTAACTATTCTCTTGCTCTTTCCAGTTGGCCGGAGTCCTGCTCACTTGCATTTAAGGCGGACTTTAACGTGCTCTGATATTGCACAGATCAGCTTGTAGTTACTGTTTGATTTTGCTAGCTGAGCTAGGTAAATCTTGATAAACACTTATATGGGTTGCTTTTATGAGGTAAGTAAATCTTTATAAGCACAAATTCAAAGTGAAGCTTTGGCTCGGGTTTTTTTTTGGAACCATCTGCGCACTGTGTATTTAATCGTATTTCTGTTGTTATTGGATTTACTGGATACATTTTATAAAGTGCATTAGGAGATCCATAGGGATGTGATCCACTTAGAGGATGTGACCCAGCAGGATTTTTGGCCAATGAGTGTAATAGGAGCAGCATCAAACCAAGCCCGTCATCCTGTCAGCATTTACAAAAGCCTTCACTGAGATCAAAAGATAAATAGTAATCAAAGGTCGATTAAAAAGAAGTGATATGTGGTGAGTAATTTATATCTAGTTAGGATTTAAATTGCAATTTTTAGAAGGAAAGAAATTTATCAAGACAACACCTTGTAT